ATTCTTGGGGTGCTGTGGGAACAAGAATTTCCTGAAACCCCCACAGGAGGATGAGGTATCATGGAAAGCTTTATTGATGATGTAACATTAATGGAGTTCCCCTCCAAGGTCCCATCTCCCTCATCTTGCCATGGAAAAAGTCCCATTTTTTCTTTAGTAGAGCTAAAATCAAAGACACTGTCTAGAGCAGTGGTTCTCAACCTTCCTAATGCCACGACCCTTTAATACAGTTCCTCATGTTGTGGTGACCCCCAACCATAAAATTATTTTCGTTGCTACTTCATAACTGTAATTTTGCTACTGTTATGAATTGTAATGTAAATATCTGATATGCAGGATGTATTTTCATTGTTACATATTGAACATAATTAAAGCATAGTGATTAATCACAAAAACAATATGTAATTATATATGTGTTTTCCGATGGTCTTAGGCGACCCCTGTGAAAGGGTCATTCAACCTCCAAAGGGGTCGCGACCCACAGGTTGAGAACTGCTGGTCTAGAGTCTTCGTTCCATATTAAAGCACACAGTCCAGTCCAGGATCTGGCTGGCTTAGTTTGTGTTCCGAGCTGCAGTCCATTGTGTGTAGGGTCCACATGGCCAGTGGCTAGCATGGGTCAAGGATCAAGCTAGTGCAAAGAAGCAAGAGAAATAAGGAGAATGAGGACTTTTTGTCTTGGAGTTATAACTAGGAGCTTAACCAATTAAGCCTTCAGGATTTTGTGCTTCAGTCCATTATCTTTGTTCCCCAGATTAGACTGACAGGCTAGCTCCTAGGTCACACCCACTTCACTGTGCATGCGTCCAATTTTCCTTTGTTTCCTTCCCCCAGCGATTTGCAGGGAATGGACCAGTGGTTCCCCGGGGAGTGCGGAGTTGCAGCTTCCTGGTGAAGCTGCCCAGATGACCATGCTTGTAATGTCTGGCCTCCCCTTTGCTCTTTTTCTATTATTAATATTAATAACTAGCTAATTATGACAATAACAATGAGTCTTTACAGATATTTTGTATTGTAAAGTGTTCTCTCAGTTATTTAATTTTGAATAACAAGGTGTCAATTGATGAGAGCACTCAGCCTGAAATGGCCTTAATTAGTGTTGATTTTGGATTCTTAGGGAGATTATCTGAAAGAAGTCCTAAAAAGGAAAGTACTTCTTGGAAAATGAATTGAAAGTTGCAGGCACTGAATACTGTTTAAGGAGCCTATTGAAGATAACTTTGAAAAGCAATGTCCAATCCCAAGTCAGAATAGTGTTTACCTTTGAGGAGCTGGGGCATGGGTTCAAGGACAAAGATAATACCTTGTTTCTTAAAAGAAAAGAGAGAAATTTGAAGCAAATGTGGGAAACTATTAAAAGTTGACCTGCTGTCCTGGCTGGTGTGGATCATTGGTAGGAGCACTGTCCCATATACCGAGAGGTCATGGGTTTGATTCCCAGTCGGGGCACATCCCTAAGTTGCAGGGTCCATCCCTGGGTCAGGCCGCATATGGGAGGCAACCAATTGATGTTTCTCTCTCACATTGATCTTTTTTTCTCCCTCTCCATTTCTCTCTAAAAATAAATAAAAACATATCCTTGGGTGAGGATTTTCTTTTTAAAGTTGATCTGTTATGCAGTGATAGGGAAATTTATAATAGTATTGTTCTCTTTACTTTTCTTTATAATTAAAATATTTTGTAATAAAAAAACATTCAGGCCGTAGCCAGTTTGGCTCAGTGGATAGAGCATTGGCCTGCGGACTGAAGGGTCCCAGGTTCGATTCTGGTCAAGGGCACATGCAGGCTGGATTCCCAGTGGGGGGCATGAGGAGGCAGCCCATCAATGATTCTTTCTCATCATTGATGTTTCTATCTATCTCTCCCTCTCCTTTCCTCTCTGAAATCAATAAAAATATATTTTAAAAAAACATTCAGTGGCTGTGTTATAATGATGCAAACAATGCTACTACATATCAAATATCTTAGATGGAAATAAAGATAATTTACCAGGGAAATTATCAGATGACTTACTATATTCTATTGATGAAGATTGTGGAGGAAGAAATATAACTTGCCCTCTACCATTCTCAGTTCTTAGCTAAGACCCCCATAATAAAAGATTAACAAAAGAAAAAAAAAAGAAAAATAATTTAATTATGTACATACATATGCACCTATAGGAATGAAAACCCAGCAAAGATATCAGATAAAAGGCAGCCAAGCAACTGAACTAAGGAAAGGAATAGTGGTCTGGGTCTTCAAAGTGGAAGAGGCAATTCATCTGTAGGTGAGAAGAGGCAATGTCTGATAAACAGATGTTTGCCCAGACATGCAGATAAGTCTCTCAGATGAAATAGTTAGCTCTGGTAGTAACTCTCTTCCTGGTACAGGCCCCTTTCCAATTTCTTGTAGGCAGTTAGGGGGACATATAAAGCTTTTCCTGAGTCTGTTGGGTCTTGCTTACCTTCAGCTCAAAATTATCCACATGCCCAAGTGGCGCATTCTGGGGTGGCTTTGTTCTGAACCCCCTCAAGGTAGCTGTGAAAATTTTGGTTTTATAAAATATAAGATTGGAAAAATAACATCATTTAAAATCTAACCCATTATATAAAGTCATTTCAAATACATTACTTGCATTTAAAAAAATATAAAAGGTTTGATTTCTGGGTCCAGTATATGTTAACTTCCATTTTCAATTTTGGTATTTCATAATATATCTTGATTTGGATAACGCTGGTTATCTGTAGGTACTATTAAAATAATCAAAGAGAACAATTAAGTTGATATAATAATTTTTTATTTCAGTGCCCTGGCTGGGTAGCTCAGTTGGTTAGAGCATCATCCAATACATTATTTTTTCAGGTTTGATCCCTGGTCAGGGCATATATAAGAATCAACCAATGAATGCATAACTAAGTGGAACAACAAATCAATGTTCCTCTGTCATGTGCGAGCCGCGTCCTGCGTGGTTCAGGGTTCAGGATCTGGAGAAGGGCTGCGTGCAAATGACAGAGACGAGACAAGAAATAATAATTTGGAAATATTGGGGGTCAGGTGGGAAGCCCAACACAAGGGGAAGGATTTCCACTGGTGCCAAGGCCTTGCCAACCTTTTATTCAATTTTGGATACACATATAGCCCTTAGGCAGAAAATTCCGGTAACAGACAGACTATCTTAAAGGTCAGTAAATATTAGTAAAGATTTACTCTGAGAATATTTGGTCAGGAAATTGCTTGAGCCACCATTGTCTCAGCTAAACAATTGGTGCATAGCTCTGGCCCTTGCCAGGGCTCAAGGTTCACCAGGGTTCCGGGCTCCTTGTTTACACTTCTCTGATAGTAAAGACAATGGGTGGCTTCCTACATGTCTCTCCCTCCTTCCCTTTCTCTCTCTCTCTTCCTTTCCCTCTTCCTCTAAAATCGATCAATAAATAAAAAATTAAAAATGTTTAATTCATACTTCATGAAGAGAGCAGTCTCCCCTCTCAACTCGAGAGACCTACAAAGTAAGGGGAAAGGTTCATGTCAAAAATTCTGTGGGCTTTTGGGTCTTTAGGGTGAGTTGAAAGTGTTTGTAGGGTTTAGGGGATGGAGATCCATTGAATTGTGCTAACCAGCATTATAGGGAGGACTTGACAACATATCTTCACATAATCAGCATGACCCATAGCCTATGATATCACGGAGCTCCTTTCATTTATTTATTCTAGTTGACAAATGTGCACAAGTAATGCAAATAAAATTATTGTTATTCCCAAGGGTTAGGAAACTTGGGGAATGTTCACATTACTTGATGGTGTAAATATCAGTGTTATGTTTAATGGTTTGTTTACTTTTAATGCTTATTTACTACTGAAATAATCTAAACTCAATAAATAACTTTTAAATGTTATGTTGGACAGTATTAAGTACCTGCTCTGTATTTGGTCTGAGAGTATTTTGTTTATACTGATGTGTTGTTGTTTTTACCTCCAGTAATATATGTATTATGTCCATGAGGGACCCTGGGAAGGTGTGGGCTTGGCCTTGCTTGGGATTGATTTTATTTTACATGTTTTCTGTGATCTTATGCACTGTAAGTATTGATGCTACCACACCCCTGCCAAGTGTGAAATAAAACTGGCTCTTCAGCAAAAAAAAAAAAAAAAAAAAGGAAGGGTGCAAGGTTTTATAGAAAGAGGCAAGCAGGACACAAGAAAGAAGTACTTGGTTTGGCTGGAGGTGTATATCTGACCTTATTTAGAAAGATCAAAGTATAGAGTCAGAACTTGAAATAATTTGATACACTGGTCTGCCATATTGATTGTTTATTTGTTGTGTATTTAGGTTTTCTCTTGAGCTTTTTGTAGCTGAAGTCTAGAAACTGAATTTTTCTCCGCTCAGTTCATGCTTCTCTGGTATTAAAGACTAGAGGCCCGGTGCACGAATTTGTGCACTGGTGGGATCCCTCGGCCTGGCCTGTGGGGATCAGGCCAAAACCGGCTCTCCAACATCCCCCAAGGGGTCCTGAATTGTGAGAGGGCAGTTCTCAGATGACACACCCTGGAATCGGGCTCCGTCCTCTCTGGTTCCGGGTGCATCATCCAAGAACCACAGCTGCCAAGTTACTTGCAGCTCAGCAGCTCCTGCATTGAGTGTCTACCCCCTGGTAGTCAGTGCACATCATCGCTACTGGTCAGAGCATCTGCCCTCCTGGTGGTCACTGTACATCATAGCTACCGGTCAAACGCTCGGTTGCTTAGGCTTTTAAATGTATAGATGGCAAGAGAGGGGAGGACTGAATCTTATTCAGTTTCCTGACAACCTTCAGGATAATATGACAGGCACATGTTCCAAATCATCCTCATTTTTTATTTAAATAGCAGACAAATTAAGGACCTTGAAAAGTAACAGTGAATTTTATGATTTGCTATTATGGTATGGTTTTATAATATTATAATTCTTTCATAGAACTTTTATAAATGGGCATAGTTTGAGGTGTAGTTTCCAGTAAACATAACAGAGTTTTCCACTTTTAGGTATAAAAGGAAGAGAACGACTTCTGGACCTGATTGCCACATTTCTGGTATTGCAGTTTCTTCGTACCAGGTTGGAACAAGCTGGAATAGTCTTCAAATCCCTGATGAAATTGGATGACGCCTCAATTTACAGGTTTTTTTCCACTTAACTATATATTTTTAAATATTATTTAACATTTAACTATACTCGTATTTTCCATTTAACTGTATCACTAAGCAAATGACTTATATTTTCAACCATTTCTTAACTAAACCTAATATGAAGCCACACAGAATTGTAGTAAGTACAAAGAGAATTTGTTCATAGGTTATGTCTCGCCTGCACTCTTCTGTTGGCAGGGCCGACACAGTATATTTGTCTCTTTGGTTGCACAGGAAAACGCAGAGAGTTTAAGTATAGCTTACACTGGAGTCCTTATCGTTGGCACCTGGCTTAGAACTCTTTTCACTATAGTATATGGATTCTATATGTTTTTGGAAAATCCATAATATGATTATTGGAACCAGGCTTAGGTCAAAAATACAAATGCAAACCCATATGCTGTAAGTCTAAGTCTTTAAAAGTTATAAATTAAACTAGGAAATTGTTAAATAAAATATGTTCTAAAGTTTTACCTTGACAAATCTAACTTCAAAACCATCTAGAAGACCAGATTCAAATTTAGAATGATGGGATGACTTGAAGTTTTATGCCAAAATGTTGCAGTGTGAAGAGATCCAGTTTTCGGTCCCTGGCTGCTAGCCCTCGGCTGACCCCTGTTATCACAAGAGGCCTCAGCGCACATATGAATATCCCTTACCCATCAGAACTCCATCATACCCCATGCAAATGGCTACCCTTGTGCACGCGCGTGTGCATATACATACACACACACACACACACGTATGTAATTTGCGTATGTCTTTTTTAAAGGCAAGATAAAGGGAAAACTAATGAAACTAATAAAAATATTATCTAGGAGGAGGAAGGACATAAGGATGAAAGCTAAGTTTCTCCTAATATACGTTGTTTTATTGTTTTGACTTAGAAACTGTAAATATTTTACATAATAAAGATTAAATATCAGAGAATAGAGCTTAAACATGTTAAATTATACATGGGAATGTGCTCAGCAGTGTCTGGGATGTCGGGAAATAAATGGCAAGACAAAAAAGAGGAGAGAATTAGAACCTATAAATTAAATGTCATATGAATCAAAGGCAATGTGTAGACCTTGTTTGGATCCTGATTTGAACAAAATCCATTGTATTAAAAAGACACAATTAGGGAAACTTAAACATTACCTGGATATTTTGTGATATTTAAGAATAATTTATAACTATTTTAAGAGTCATGTTTAAGAAAAAGTTCTTGTCCTTTAGAGGTACATATTTACAGATGAAATTAAAATAAATGAACAGACCTATTTTTACCCTCTTACAAAGAGACACTTCTGTTTTGATCTTCTACAGCTATGACAGCCTCTAGATCAAGTATTAACAACTTTGAACCTACTTTTGAAGTGCATATCACAAAGTATTAAAGCAAGAGTTTTAAAAAGTAAAATATGGCTCTTACTATATTACTGTTACTGTGAGAGCAAAATGGTTTGTTGGAACTGTAATAAATAAAACATAAATAATTTTTATTTCCTATTTATTGCCTATTTAAAACTTTTATTTCTCTTTTTCCTACTTCATGATGTACATAATGTTAATGTAGTAGCATTGCATGGAGGTGTATGAACAAAATTTTCACACTTATCAGGAGGGTCAGTCAGAAGTCTCAAGGCGATCTGGATTAAAGGAAGGCCAGTTGAATTAGTGAGAACATTTAAAGTCAGTTTTGTTGCTTTCTATAGTTAGTAACTATAAGTAGACTAATACTTATTGAGAAACAGATCTTTTAACCACTTCAGGCCTGTTGCTATTTGGTATGTTCATGGCATCAGGATATTCAGCAAATATTTATTGACTACCTACTCTGTGCCAGGGACTGTTAAACATGCATTTTGTTAATCCCCACAACACACCCACAGAATCTCATATCATTATCATAACTGAGGAAACTGAGACTGCCAGTGTGGAATGAAAGGTGCCCAATATCACACAGGCACCACTGTATAATTACAGAATTAGGATTTGAACCCAGGTCTTAACCACCACACTATTCTGATGGCCCGTTCCCAGTTTATAGGGGAAAAAAATCAGGAAGATGAAGAGAATCTTTCAAATTTTTAGTTTCCCCCCCACAGAATTTTCTTTAAAACTTTAATATATATTACCACTTGTTTACTAATAAGTTTGAGAAGATGACAAAAGAGGAAGCAGCTAATATTAATTTAAAAATTCAGAATTTTTCTGGGTTTAAATAGACCTGAATATTTGACAGTCTTAAATATTCAATAGCATTTAATGGTCACAAACTTGAAGCTTTTGATATGCACATATTACTAGTTAGTTTATGTGATAGGATTAAATATATGCCAGTTTCAGTTTCAGTTTCATGTGTGACTCTCAGTCATTTTGCAAAAATAACTAGCCAAGTTGAGAATTCCTGGTTCAGTGAAAGGAGAGAGAATTGGAAGCCTAGTTTGTAAAATAGAATTGTGTTTGTATGTGAAGAATGGATAGGATTTAAATGGAGAAGAATGGAAAAGAATGACAATAAACAGATGTATAAAGGCTAGAAGATGCTTGAGTTATTCTGGAGGCAGTGAGGAAGTCTGTGGTGCACAGTGGAAGCTGGGAAGTGATGGGCATAATATACTTAAAAATATACTTAATAAGTTAAAGCATGTCAGGCTGGTAGAAGAACTTTAATCAAGTATTAAAGAGAACTGTTTTTCTTAAATATCTTAATTTTTGACAGAATTATTTTGTCTGAGCTAATGTGCTAGATTTGATACCACATTACATTTCATATCTAATTATATTCTGAAATTGATGGAAACATTGTTTTTTAAATCTAGGAATATTCCCTGGGCTTTTGAGAAAATAAAGAAAGCAAGTGAATGGGTTAGAAGAACTGAAGGACAGTATCCATCTATCTGCCAACGGCTTGAATTGGGTAAAGACTGGGACTGTGCCACTAAACAACTATTGGGAATCCAACCCATGAATACCACCTTTCCTCTTCAGGTTTCTTAATTATGGTCAAGGCTTAATCAGATGAAGCTGTATTTTAAACTTTTTTTCATGCTTCTATCAATAAAATAATATTAATAGATACCTATAATGAAATTTAATTATGATTTTATCAAATGTAGCAATGTCCCTTAAAAATAAATGGAAGCAGAATTGTTTTAATGAACAAGCTATAGTAAAATAAAAATTACAGTGTTAAGATTTTTTGTGTTCAAATATTTTAAGGTGGTAAAATACACATCTGGATGGTCCTGGAAGCTCATTGCTTTCTCCCCTTCAGGAGTCTGGTACAGACTGGTCCAGCTGGACTAAGCAAGCTGGGATGAAACAAAGTCTTTGGCCAATGTCCACAATTCCATTTCCAGGGTCCTAGGTATCTCCCAGTATGCATTCTCCTTGGTGTGGGTCCTGGTCTGCAGATCCCCTGATACATTTATTTTACTTAGAGAAACTGGGTATCCCAAGCAATGCTTTCATGGCTCTTGCTTTTGTTGTTGCATCTCAAATCTCAACACTAAACCCAAGGTCATCTAGATTTTCATCTATGTTCTAGAAGTTTTATAGTTTTGCACTTTACATTTAGGTCTATGCTAGTTTCAGTTGTGTGTGTGTGTGTGTGTGTGTGTGTGTGTGTGTGTGTGTGTGTGTGAGAGAGAGAGAGAGAGAGAGAGAGAGAAAGGTATAAGGTTCACTACCCCGCCTAGGCCATTTCCTCTCTACCTTTTCCTAAAACCTTGGTTTCTCTGGTATACAGTCTTTTGGCTACTTCCTACCTGTCCTCATTGCTGCCATTCACCAACTGCCCAATACCTCCCCTTGTTCACATGGTTCAGGACTTCCCTTTCTACTGCTAGTCCTGCCTTTATCTTGAGTAACTTCCAACATCCTGCTGTATGACCCATCCTAATTCCCTGGGCTTGAACTGCAGCTTATTGAATCTTGGTAGAATGCCTTATGATCAGGTTGGTAACCAGAAGGATGAGAGGCTTGTAAGGAGCTCCCACCTGCCTCTATGTCTCCATGGGAGACTGTCATGAGATAGTTTCTCATCACCTCCTATTTCTGATGAGGTATGAAGCTCAGGATACAGCTGCAGACTACCCTCCAACCCCACCCTTCTAGCTGCATCTAGAATCGGCTCCTCAACAATGATGTGTACCACAACACATGTCGCAATTATCTAGCTCCTTTGGAAGTGTGGGACAAGGAGAGGTGATGTCTTTGACTAATCTTCCTCTTGCTATTTACTTATTAATTTTTTTTGTTAATCCTCACCTGAGGATATTTTTCCATTGATTCTTAGGGAGAGTGGAAGAAAGAGGGAAAGACAGAGAGAAACATCGATGTGAGAGAAACACATCGATTGGTTGCCTTCTGCACGGCCAGGGCCCGGGCCAGGGAAGAGGTTGCAACCAAGGTTCGTACCTTTGACTGGAATTAAACCTGGGACCTTTTGGTCCACAGGCCGACGCTCTATCCACTGAGTTAAACCAGCTAGGCATTCTTCTTGCCTATATAAATCACCTAAATCTACAGTGATTTGACATATCACATATCTTTGCCTGCTTGTCTGCATGACATAATCACAGGAGATAAACAGTCTTTTCATGGTTTATTAGATTAAGGGATTTAAATGATTGGTAATACCCAATAACACAAAATATGTGAGTAAACAAAGACTTCCTTACATATTTACTGGAAACATTCTAGTAAAACAAAATTTTGCAATATAGATGTTTATCAAAATTTAAGTCATACCCTCCTTGAAATATAAATTTCACTAAAAGGAATTCAACTTTTAGAAATTCATCTTACAGAAATATGGACACACACAGAACAGAGTGCAATAAAACTCACTTTAAAAGTGATATAAATGGGTGCCTATGTATGTATTACATAAAAATCTGTCATGGCATATTACAAACTGGTTACCTTTAAGGAGTAGGAACTTTATTTCTATCTTATATATTTTGGGTTAATTGAAAATTTTTTCAATGAATACATATACTTAAATTTTTTAGCTCTGGCCAGGTAGCTCAGTTGGTTAGAGCATTGTCCTGATATATCAAGGTTGCAGGTTCAATCCCAGGTTAGGGCACATACAAGAATCAGCCAATGAATGCATAAATAAGTGGAACAACAAATAGACGTTTTGCTCTTTTTCTCCCTTTCTCTCTCTTTCTCTAAAAAAAAAAAATTATTTCAAGATTTAAAATATTTTGCCAAGTTTTTATAAATTTAGAACCTTCTTTTGTTTCCTCTTCTGTTGTTGACTTGTTGAAGAAACAAGGTTAGTTGTCCTATAAAATGCTGCACATTCTGGACTTGTCCAATTACTTCCTTTTCTCTTTCTCCATGTTTCTTGTAGACTGGAAATTAGGTCTAAAGGCCTGAGTAGATTAAGGTTCAACATTTTTGCCCACAAAAGCCATTGAGTCTGGTTATTGTTCTACTTTTAATAATGTTTACATTGATCAGTGGGTTTCCACAGTGGTGGTGTGTTTCCTCTGAATCTGTGGAGAGATATTTGGCATCCAGTTCCTCATCCATCTTTCACCTAATAGTTTTGTTGCCTGAATCATTTTCAGGAAATATTGTGATTCTCTCTTCTATACATATTAGCTGGAATTCTTCTGAAATAATGAGCTTTCCCCCTTCAACTAATGTTATTTGGTTATATTTTTTTAACTTATTTTTTTAAATATTTTTTATTGATTTCAGAGAGGAAAGGAGAGGGAGAGGTAGAAACATCAATGATGAGAGAGAATCATTGATCGGCTGCCTCCTGCTCACTCCACCCTGGGGATCAAGCTTGGGTGCACATGTCCTGACCGAGAATTGAACTGTGACCCCCTGGTTCATCGGTCCATGTTCAACCACTGAGCCATATCAGCCAGGCTATTTTTTTTAATATTTTTTAAAATATATCTAATTATTAGAATTGTTGTGTGTCTGTCTTTTATAGACTGAGTCCCTGGAAGGCAGACTATGCTTGTTGTATTCCTAATGCCTAGTAACATCATAGTACATTCAGTAAGCTCAACAAATGACACCAACTCAAATAATGCACCAACTCAAAGCTGGTGATCCTCTCCATAGGGATGTGCCGATCATAGAGTACTCTTTAATTAACCTCAGAGTTAAATTTAAAAAGTTAATCCGCCCTAACCGGTTTGGCTCAGTGGATAGAGCGTCAGCCTGCCGACTGAAGGGTCCCAGGTTCGATTCCGGTCAGGGGCATGTACCTTGGTTGTGGGCACATCCCCAGTAGGAGGTGTGCGGGAGGCGGCTGATCAATGTTTCTCTCTCATCGATGTTTCTAACTCTCTGTCCCTCTCCCTTCCTCTCTGTAAAAAACTCAATAAAATATATTAAAAATAAAAAAAAAATAAATAAATAAAAAGTTAATCCTGTAAATTAAGTCATAAAGACTATTTGTGATTCAAAGTGAGAAAAACATTTACCCTTCAGTGGACTTTTCCAGCAACTTTGGGTGACTACCTTTGTCAGTCATTTATAACCCAGAGAAGATACTTTTAACACATCCTCTGATGTGTTTTCTTAAATTTTATTTTTAATTATAGTTTACATTCAATATTATGTTGCATTAGTTACTTGTGTACAGCTTAGTGTGGTTAGACAATCACATACTTTACAAAGTGATCCCCTGATATTTCAAGTACCTACCTGGCACATACATGGTTATTACAATATGATTGACTATATTCCCTATGCTGTACTTTATATATTTAGGTGCTCCTATGTTGGGTGCATATATGTTTACCAGGGTTATATCCTCTTGTTGGATCAATCCCTTTAGTATTATGTAGTGACCTTTGTTGTCTCTTGTAATGGCCTTCATTTTAAAGTCTATTTTGTCAGATATGAGTATTGCTACTCCAGCTTTTTTTTTTCTTTTCCATTTGCATGGAAAAAAATGTTCTATCCCTTCACTCTCATCCTGTATGTGTGTCTTTTCTTCTTTCTGTGTGGGTCTCTTGTAGACAGCATATAGTTGGGTCATGTTTTTGTATCCATTCAGCAACCCTATGCCTTTTGATTGGAATATTTACACAATCCATTTACATTTAGGGTTATTCTTTTGTTTTGTTTTTTTGTTTTTTATTTTATTAAATCTTTATTGTTCAGATTATTACATTTGTTCCTCTTTTTCCCCCCCCATAACTCCCTTCCTTCCAGTTCCCACCCCATCCTCCGCCCTCACTCCCCACCCACTGTCCTCATCCATAGGTGCACGATTTTTGTCCAGTCACTTCCCGCATCTCCCACACCCTTCCCCCCCCCCCCAGAATAATCAGTCCATTCCCTTTCTATGTCCCTGATTCTATTATAATCAACAGTTCATTCTGTTCATCAGATTATTTATTCACTTGATTCTTAGATTCACTTGTTGATAGATGCATATTTGTTGTTCATAATTTGTATCTTTACCTTTTTCTTCTTCTTCCTCTTCTTAAAGGATACCTTTCAGCATTTCATATAATACTGGTTTGGTGGTGATGAACTCCTTTAGCTTTTTGTTATCTGTGAAGCTCTTTATCTGACCTTCAATTCTGAATGATAGCTTTGCTGGGTAAAGTAATCTTGATTGTAGGTTCTTGCTATTCATCACTTTGAATATTTCTTGCCACTCCCTTCTGGCCTGCAAAGTTTCTGTTGAGAAATCAGCTGACAGTCATATGGGTACTCCGTTGTAGGTAACTAACTGTGTTTCTCTTGCTGCTTTTAAGATTCTCTCTTTGTCTTTCGCTCTTGGCATTTTAATTATGATGTGTCTTGGTGTGGTCCTCTTTGGATTCCTTTTGTTTGGGGTTCTCTGTGCTTCCTGGACTTGTAAGTCCATTTCTTTCACCAGGAAGGGGAAGTTTTCTGTCATTATTTCTTCAAATAGGTTTTCAATATCTTGCTCACTCTCATCTTCTGGCACCCCTATAATTCTGATGTTGGTACGCTTGAAGCTGTCCCAGAGGCTCCTTACACTATCTTCGTATTTTTGGATTCCTTTTTCATTTTGCTTTTCCGGTTGGGTGTTTTTTGCTTCTTCGCATTTCAAATCTTTGACTTGATTCTTGCGATCCTCTGGTCTGCTGTTGGGTGTCTGTATAATATTCTTTATTTCAGTCCGTGTATGCTTAAGTTCTAGTTGGTTCTTTATCACAACATCGAGGGTCTCATTAGATTTCTTGAGGATCTCAATAAGTTTATCGGCGGCTTCTAGACAGTTCTTGAGGGACCTTAAAAGTGTGGTTCTGAACTCAATATCCTCCATTGACAATTTTGTCCTGTTTCTTTGTCTCCGCATTTTTTATGCTTTCTTGGTGCACCCCCTAGTGGTCTTTGTGCGCAGTCTTGTTGTAGTTAAGCCTTGATTGTTGTAGTTAATACTAGGGGGATTTGACCTCCAGGCCAACTGGCTGTGAGAATCAGCTGTGTCTGCAGTGGGAAAACTTCTGTCCTCTGGGGAGGTGCTAATCTAGCCTTTGCCTGAGGCAATCCGGCAAATGGCTCTGCGCAGGGCTTGGGTGGAGCGGGCGGAGTGAGCAGTTATGGCTGCTCTTAGTCCCGTCCCCAGCAACCGCTGCAAACCTCAGAGAGAAAGCTGCCCTCGCATTCCGACCGGTGCCAGACAGTCCCGCTTCTCCCGTTTGAGTCTGGGTCCCTAGAGACTCGCCCAGAACTGGAGCTCAGAGTCTGAGACTCCCTCCCGATTGAAAACGACAACCGCGCCCTCAGCCACCAGCCCGCTCCCCGCGCACCTCCGCACCTTTGTATTTTCCGTACTGCGCCTCCTCTGAGTCTCGGCACGCTGTTCTCCTTCCTTCTAGTTGAAGAATTTCCCCTCAGCCAGCCTTCCTGTGGTTCTGGGTGACGTCCGTTCCGTCTTTTAGTTGTATTTTTGAAGTGGTTGTGCGAGGCAGCAAACTCCGGTGTTTACCTATGCCGCCATCTTGGTTTCTCCTCTAGGGTTATTCTTGATAGGTATTTATTTATTGCCATTTTAATTCTGTATGCCTAGGTTTCTCTCTCTGTTTCTTCTTCTCATTACAGCAGTCCCTTTAGCATTTCTTGTAATGCTAGCTTGATGGTGATGTACTCCTTTAGCTTTTTTTTTTTTTTTTTGTCTGGGAAGCTCTTTATTTGACCATCTATTTTGAATGATAGCCTTGCTTGATATAGTAATCTGTTTTCAGATCCTTGCTTTCCATTACCTTGAGTAGTACTTCATGCCATTCCCTTCTGGTCTGTAGAGTTTCTGATAAGATATCAGGTGTCAGCCTTATGGGAACTCCTTTGTAGGTAACAGTTTGCTTTTCTCTTGCTGCCTTTAAGATTCTCTGTTGGTCTTTAATTTTTGGCATTTTAATTATGATGTGTCTGGGCATGGGCCTGTTTGGTTTCTCTTGCTTGGGGTTCTCTGTGCCTCCTTGTGTGACTTTTTCCTTTACCAGGGTAGGGAGGTTTTCTGCCATTATTTCTTCAAACACGTTCTCTATCCCTTTCTTTCTTTCTGCCTCTTCTGGCACACCTGCTATTTGAATATTGTTATGTTTCACGTTGTCCCACAGCTCCCTTAAGTTGTCCTCCTGTTTTTTAATTGTTTTTTCCTTTTTGCTTCTCTGATTAGGTGATTTTTTCAACCCTGTCTTCAAATTTACTGATTCGATCCTCAGCTTCCCCTAATCTGCTGTGTATTCCTTCCAATGTGTTCTTTATTTGTTATGCCATTCTTTATTTCCGACTATTCTTTTTTCCTAGTTACTATATCTTTTTTTCATACTGTTGAGCATCTTTACATCATTACTCTGAACTCTGTTTCAGATAAATTTCTTATCTCTGCTTCATTTATCCCTTCTTTTGGAGAATTCTCTTATTCTTTCATTTGAGGGTTGTTTCTTTGTCTCATTTTGGCTGTCTATTTGAGTTTGTGACTATGTATTAAGTAGATCCTTTACACCTCTCAGCCTCTAGTGTAGACAGTGTCAAACGCTGTTTCTGACTAATTAGATCAGGCAAAGACTCACAGCCTCCAGAGACCACCTCTGCCTACAGACTGATAGGATTCGGACTTGAATGCCCCAGGCAATCATCCTCAGGTGTGGTGAGAGTTTTTTTTTCAACAGGGTGGGGCAGTTGCTTCTGCCTGGAGGCTAATTGTTATTTTTACTCTCTTAGTGGCCTCAGGGCAAGGTGTTTTCCAATAGGGTGGGTCAACTGTCTTCCCCCCATAGAGGCAAATGTCTGTGTGGGAAAGATGTCCTCTGCTGCGTGAGGGAATGACTCAGCCCAGGAAATTGGGGGTGTCTGCCTTCTGAGCTCTACCCCCAAGTCCCCAATCCTGGCTTCTGCACATACAGCTCCAGTCCACTCTGCCCTCCCTCTGCTGGAGCACAAAGTGAGTGGCTCCACAGGGAATTTTGTGCATTGGCCCTTTAAGAGGGTGCCTGAATTTCCAGCCATCTCTTTCTGGCAGACAGCAACTCTGCTGCTTTTCACAGTCAGATGTTATGTGTGTACCCTTCTCAGTTGTGGTGCTCTCTGCTGGGGGGTTCCAGCTTGGGTATTAGATCCCAGAGTGCTCAGTGGCAACCCCCCACAGCTGAGATATCTTTCTGGAACTTCAGTTGCTGTCTGTGGGCACCTGGCCAGCCCTTTCAGGCCTCTGCCCCTCCCACCAGTCTCTATGGGGTCTCCACTTTCTGTCCTTGGGTATCAGGGTTCTCTCCTGCCAGTCTTCTGTTGATTATTTAGGAAGTTTTTCTATATTTTAGTTGTAATTCCAGTTTGTTCCTGGGAGCATGTCTGTGCAGCATCCACTTACTCTGCCACCATTTTAAATCTCTTTACCCTATGCTGTACTTTACATCCCTGTGACTATTTTGTAACTACCAATTTGTACTCAATCCTTCCATCTTTTCACCCAACTCCCACCTCACCCCAGCCCCATCAGATAGTCCAATAGAAAACACCCAAGTAGAACCTGGAAAACATGATTTTCAGCTTGATAATAAAAATTGTGTACACTGGCTAGAGTGTACAGCACTCTGAATTGTTGACAGGGGTTAGCCGCATCCTAATCTTACATGTGAATTCCTGGGCGCTAAGCTCAGGCTGGGTCTCGCTCAGGAGAGTCTGGGTGGCCGGGACGCGCTCTGAGAACGCTTTGGCCCGCCCACCAGTGAGGCATGGTAGGGCCTGCAATCCCTCCCGGGACTCAGTCAGCCCATAGTCCCGCCCCTATCCCCGCCCGCCGCGATAGTCCCCGCCCCTCCCCTCCGGCCGCGATAGTCCCCGCCCCTCCCCTCCCGCCGCGGTAGTCCCCGCCCCTCCCCTGCCGCCGCGGTAGTCGATAGTCCCCGCCCCTCCCCCGCCGCGATAGTCCCCGCCCCTCCCCCGCCGCGGTAGTCCCCGCCCCTCCCCTCCGGCCGCGATAGTCCCCGCCCCTCCCCTCCGGCCGCGGTAGTCCCCGCCCCTCCCCTCCGGCCGCGGTAGTCCCCGCCCCTCCCCTCCGGGCGCTCCGGCACCCTCCTTGTTCCTCTTCCGCCCAGCACGCCCCTCGGCCCGCCCACCCACTTCCCGTAGACACCACTGGGCTCCGGCGCGTCCGCCTCGACGTGATTGGTTGGTGAGCGTATCATTGCGGGGCTCCGTGACCGCCATTGCTGACTCCTCTCCAGTGGCTTCACGCGGACCCAACGGGCTCAGGTTGAGCGCGGGACGCGGAGGACGTTGGGCGTGCGTCGCGACCGCTCGCGCGGGGGTTTCCAGCTCCGGCTATGGCGGCGGCGGTTGCGGAGGTCGCAAGCATGGCTGCGGTTCCCGTGTCGGGCGCCCACAGCCCCAGCAAGCCGCCCGTCGGCGAAGGCGAGGGAGCGGCGGGCGAGGAGAAGGACGCTGGGAAGAAAGGAGCGGAGGCCGTGGGGGACAGCGAGGAGGACGGGGAGGATGTGTTCGAGGTGGAGAGAATCCTGGACATGAAGACCGAGGGGGTACGTGAGCGGGCGGGGCGGGGGCGGCAGCGAAGGGGGAGCCTCGGGAAATGGTGAAAGTTGGGTCTCCGGCAGCGTCTCGGCGGCGGCGTGTGAGGGTCCGTGACCGGTTCACACAGTGCTGGGTGTTGACGTACCTGCTTGGGGCCGTTACTGGGAAGGGGTGACGTGACGTTGAAATTAGTCTGCTGCTCAAGAGTCCGTGTCCACGCCGTCGTTTCAGGGGTTTTTTCCCGAAGCTGTAGTCAACTTTCTGGTGTGAAATCTTCAGGATTATCTACTGTAATTGAAAAGTAAACAAAAATTTTCGCGTCCATTCGCCTTGGGCATCCTCGACCCTAGAGGGTGCATTTCAAGGTCTACCGAAACTGCCCACTGCCACCCTGTCTCCCGGGCATCATTTGATGGCCGCCGGGGCCGTCCGCCCGCTGGCGCTCCGCTCCCCCCCTCGTCCACCTCTTTCTGCCTGTTCCATCCTGACCTCCGCGGGAGTGAGACGCGGCCATCTCGGGGCCCGTTTCAGCGCTAAAGCATCAGCGTTCCGTATTGTTCTCCTGCTCCTTGAATACAGGGAATGTGATTTTGTTAATCTTGGTATCACTGTTACGTAATCCAGTGCCCAGCATGCAGTTAGCGCTTAGTGTATATCCCGTTATTAAATGAGGAAAAGAATTGTAGGCTGGAGGCTGGGGTGAAGGGGAGAGATAACCAAAGGCCCCACACATGTAGTGGATTCTTTTCATTGTCTATTAACTTCCCATTCGTCTTGTACTACCTTGATTTAATTATTTTGTTCAGTCATTCAACAAACTTTTTAATCAGCTCCTGTGTGCTAGGGGCTGTGATGGGTCCTGCGGATATAGAGATGGAACTGTAGCTACACACTTGCTGACATTGAACAGTTCTGTCCAGTAAATAATTAAAGTCCATTGCCATTAATACTATTGTTAGTTGCACAATACAGTAAAGATTGGAACATTTTTAGGTATAATTTTCCCAAATATATTGTAAATGCCTTGAGGTGAGAGATGGAGCCAATCTCACTATTTTGTATCACCTGCAATTAACACAGTGCTTGGCACATAGCAAATATTTAGAAAATATTTGGCTAGGAGGGTAGTATCTTTAGAATTAAGAGGATTCATCTATTTATGCACTCCTAATTTTGTCAGTCCCAAAGAATTGTAGGCAGTATACCTAAAGCCCCCCTCCCGCTTACCCACTTTAGTAACACACACTCATCTGGTTAGTTTCCCTGGCCAACAGCTGCGTGGACTTGGTACTGGATGTAGCGGTACCAGCCCGCTGGAGCACAGCCAGAAACAGACTAGCTGGATTGGGACAGGACATGAACTGAAGCAATGGTGCAAAATTTCTGGACATTGGGAACCCAGAGGCAGCCTTCTATTCTTACCACACCAAAACCTCCCACGTGCAGGTCTCTTGAAATTCTTTCCTTGGGACTCTGAAAGAACACGATTTCCACTGGCAGGAGGAAGATGAAAACAGTACTGGAGATGGACAGTAGTAATGGTTGCACATCAATGTGAATGTATTTAATGCCATTGAACTGTACACTTGAATATGGCTAAATGGCAAATTTAAGATACATATATAAAAAACATAAAACTAAAAATTTTTTAGTTACCTGTTGTATCCTTTGCCCATTTTCTTTTTTTTTTTTTTTTTTTTAAATATATTTTATTGATATTTTTACAGAGAGGAAGGGAGAGGGAGCGGGATAGCGAGTTAGAAACATCGATTCAGCTGCCTCTTGCACGCCCCCTACTGGGGATGTGCCTGCAACCCAGGTACATGCCCTTGACTGGAATCGAACCCGGGACCCTTGAGTCCGCAGGCCGACGCTCTATCCGCTGAGCCAAACCAGCTAGGGCCCTTTGCCCATTTTCTTGTTCATTTACAGTCAAACCTCTTTTTCTTGAATGTCTCCCATCTCAAATAATTCAGTTCTCAACCAAGTTGTTAACAGAAAAAATGTCTCCCTCCAACTTTGGTTTTTGAACTGACAACCCTTTCATGCTGATAGCTCAGCATGACAAAAAGCTCTCAGTCCACAAACAAATGAGAGAATGCTTTTGTTGTTGGGGAAGTCAATTTTAAGACATAAAAAGGGCATGGAGTGCTAATATTGCTAAGGGTGTGAAAGAAACAGTTATCATGGACAATTTAAAAGATAGAAAAACTATTGTAGATTTTGATATATGAAAAGCAGTTAGCCAGTGACAGCATTTCGGAGGCAGTGATATATGAACAAGCAAAGATGGTGACCTGAAAGACAACCCTGGAATGAGTGCTGAAAATGATTTATTTAAGCCTAGTAGAGGGTGGTTCGATAATTTTAAGAAAAGAAGTGTTTATAGATTAAACAGTACATTAGATATGTACTGTATATAAGAAAGGTTAAAACAATCATTTGTGGGTCTGGAACGGATTAATTAAATTTACATTATTTCAGCCCTACCCGGTTTGGCTCAATGGATAGAACGTCAACCTGCAGACTAAAGGGTCCCAGGTTCAATTCCGGTCAAGGGCACATGCCTGGGTTTCGGGCTCAATCCCCAGTGGCGAGCGTGCAGGAGGCAGTCAATTAATGATTCTCTCTCATCATTGATGTTTCTATCTGTCTCTCCCTCTTCCTTCCTCTCTGAAATTAATAAAAATATATTTAAATTTACATAATTTCTTTTTTTTTTAAAATATATTTTATTGATTTTTAACAGAGAGGAAAGGAGAGAGATAGAGAGAGTTAGAAACATCGATGAGAGAGAAACATCGATCCGCCGCCTCCTGCACATCTCCCACTGGGGATGTGCCCGCAGCCCAGGTACATGCCCTTGACCGGAATCAAACCCGGGACCCCCCAGTCCGCAGGCCGACGCTCTATCCACTGAGCCAAACCAGTTTCGGCAAATTTACATAATTTCTAATGGGGAAAAATGATTCCGTTTTCAAACAAATTGCTTCTCGAACAGCCTTCCAGAATGAATTAAGCTCGAGAACCAAGGTTCCACTGTATAAGAATTTTTTTTTTTAAATCTTTATGGCTATTTAATCTTTGTCATATGTATTCCAAAGTTTTGCTTCTCAAGATTTCTGGTTTACTTTTCCTGCTCAGCATCCAGTCTTACTGAGGAGCAAGAACAAACTCAGGAAATAGTTTCCCACATGAACTACGGAGAACCATTCTGGCTATACACTTGTGGACAAAAAAGGATACACACACTAAACCTGACAAGCTCAGGGGAGGCCTGCATGGTGAGCCTTACAAAACTCAAGACACCTTCTAGTAAAGTAACTACATAGGATAATCTTAAATTAAAACTTCTTAACTAAAAGCGAGTCATGCCAGGGAAGCATGTCCTAGGCTGGTATCTTCCTTGACAAAGGTCAGTCTTTACTTAACTGAGCCTGTCTATTGTCTTTTTGTATCTACTGATAATATACCTTTGGAATGTCAGGGTAATTTTCTTTTTCCAGACCCCTGAGAGCACAATCTCCCATCAGAGCAGGAGTCGACAGAGCCCCTCATTATTGTTATCCTATTAATTATTAACTGTTAGCTATTCTATCCCCACCAATGTAAAAGAAGTATGTGCCTCTTAATTTTACTTTTCATCCAGTCCCACAGATTTCCCCATTTTGCTTTCTCCCACCTCCCTAACCTATCACCAGTGGATTTCATGTAACCCCCTTATGTCTTCCTCTTTGTTTCTAATGTATAAAATAAGGTGCAAAACTGCTGCGATTTTGCTTCCTGGCATTTGTCATTAGTTTGGCTCAAACTCATAAAGATTCTTACAGGTTTGGACATTTCTTATATCAACACATTCAACACTTATCTGACTTTATTCTTACAATCACCAAGGCAGTAAACTTTCAGGCCGAGTGCCAAGCACTACTTCCTCCCATTATAGCCTTCAATCATTCTGCCAGTGGTAAAAGACCAAGCATTAAATTCTAGGATCAGAAACTACGATATAATGGAAAAAGAGTAGACTTAGACTCTTAATTTTTAAAGATAATCTCAAAAATCCTTATAATTTTAAAATAATAAGAGTCTCTATCAATACAGTTTGATGGTTCAGATACATAACTGGGTGGGGGGACAGTGATTCTGTCAGCCCAGAATGTATGAACATTCTTTTTAGTATAACTTTGAAAAAGAAAACCTACTATTATATACAACTTTGTAGGAGCTTCTATGAAAATGAAGGTAAAACCAAAGATAAACAAAGGTGAAATAAACAAGATTTAAGAAGCTTGTATGAATGAGGGAAACAAAAAGAAATCTTAGCAGTATGCAGTACCACCTAAAAGCAGTATGCTTGGTCTTGATAGAAACATCGTAAGAAGAGTTACATCATTATAAGATGGAATGCTGGAATATGCTAATCTATTCAATAACGGCATGCAAACTAAGGATCCGCCATATTATTTTTGTGTATGCATAATAAAATGTTACTCAATGTAGCTTTTCAAAAACACTACTTACATATTTATTTAAATGTTTATTTATTGATTTTAGAGAGAGGGAGAAACATCAATTTGTTGTTCCACTTATTTATGCTTTTATTGGTTGCTTCTTATACTGTGTGTGCCCTGACTAGAGATTGAGCCTGTGAACAAAAAGGGGCCACATGCTGACCTGACTAGCTCGGGGAAGGCTTTCGAGGTTGCCTTGGAAACTCAGAGACCTAAAGTAACCACAAAAGATGGTCTGAAATTAAACTTTTTAACCAGAAAGCAGTTTATGGTGGGTAGTCATGTCCTAGGCTGGTATCTAACAAAGGTCAATCTTTACCTTAACTGAGCCTATTATCTTTTTGCATGTATGCTAACATATCATAACATATCTTTGGAATCTCAAAGTAATTATGCTAACATATCATAACATATCTTTGGAATCTCAAAGTAATTTTCCTTTTTCCGGACCCCTCAAAGCACAGGCACCGCTCTGCAGAGCCCACAAATCCCCTCAG